CCAGGAATTACCATAGAATAGAATTACTACAATAGCTCACTTTCTACTATTGTAATTAAACAAGATTTTAATTACTTGCAATTGTGGGGAAAAAAAAATTTCCCTCATATTCCACAAATGAAAGTTACTGGCAGCTTGCTAAAATATTCTGTTCCCAAAGACATGGGAAACAATCTTAGCAACCTTTTTATCACAAGTGCTAAAGCCTGGTTATTGCATAACATGTTATTTAACCTTGCTGAAGTCCCTGCATGGCAAACTGCGAGATCTTCAACAGGCACAAAATTAAAGTGCTACTGAAGGCATTAATAAACTCTAGCAGCAAAAGAACTGCGTTTAGTAATGAATTTGCAGGATCTCCTTTTAGCCCATCAAAATAGGGCTAAAATTACACATAATCAAAACAAAATCAAGTCACTTTGAAGTCTGGCATTTAGAGTGTACTAATAGGTTATGTGGCAAACTAGTAATCAAATAGTTCCACAAACTAAAGAACCATTTTCAACTGCTGGCTTTCTTAAGATTTCTCTCCGACCCATTATGCATTTTCTCACACCTCCCACATGACTTTTTTTTTTTTTATAATGGAAAAGCTGTTCCAAATTGTTGTATTAGGAAACTTTCTGATATTCTCACTTGAAGAGGAAGAACATGAAAAATAAAGAGCCAAAAAACCATAATGTTCCATGTCAGAACACTAGGCTGTGGATTGTTAAATACAATTACAAATCAATCCTAATACATACAGTTTGGGAATAATAGGATTTAGATTGGTAAATGCTGAAGTTTGAAATAAGCAAACTGAAGTCTGGAAGTCTGTCCTGTTATTGATTGCCACAACAGATACAGCCAAGTCAATGATAACTGCTGGAAGCCTTACTTATTACAGATTCAAATAATATTTCCTATTCTGAGATCTTGGAAAGGGGGTATACTATTCTATACATGACAGTAGAGAAAAAAACATTATTTCAAGTTTCTTCACTTTTACCAGTTCTTTTCCAGTTTACTCGCAAAACTTCTAGATTGCATGAAGCTCCTGAGAAAACCTCTTTAAAAGATACTCATATTTGCTAAGCTAAGCACAAAAATGAGAATCAGAACTGGTAAGTTAGCCTTCAAGCTTCAAAAGTGGTATGTAAAATCCTTTACTTAAGAGCATTGGTAGGACATAAGACTGAGGGTACCCTCACCTTCTTACTTATTCCCCTCTCTTTATGCAGTTCTTCAATTCATTAGTACATGTCTTTGAGAGCAAATAATGAAATGCCCTTCATACTTTCCCAATTTCCCTCTTATCTGAACAAGTGGCTTTCTGCTCTGTGCCTCGTTCCCATTCTGATCCTGTCTGGCTACACTTCCATCAGACGTCCAGTCAGCTGGTCATGGTATGAATTCAAGCCCTGTCCCATGTACAGTTTGATTGCTAGCACCTTCTGGTCTTGGTGTGGGCCCCTATTGCTCCAGTCAATGTCCAGACATGCTTTAGGACACCATGTAGACCACGGACTGCTCCCAGTAGGCAGTACAAGCAAGACTGCCCTTTTGCACAGAATGAGTTTAGCAGGGCTGAAGAAGAGGGGAATGGATCACTTAGTCACTCATCCTAAAGACACTGGGGTGTGTTTGGGTGTAGATGCAGAGCACCATCAATTCCAGTACTTATAAACTCCCAAACCTTCACTGCTGTGCCATGTGGCTCAGCTCCTGCACCACACTACTCCCTGACACCTAACCCCTTCATTTGCCTTGTTAAGATGCCTTTTCCTCTCTCTCTCTCCAAGCATATACTCAATGTCATTTGGCTCTTGCACTGCAGAGACTGATAGCTTTTTCCTCCCCAGTATGAAGCAGAAGTGGGCTGGTGGTACAGAAATTCTTTCAGAAAGCTCTGTGTGTGTGTGCAGCTCCTGAAATAAATAAGGAAAAATAAGAGCAGAGGAGCAGGCAGCAGTGTGTAGTTGTAGCTAGGAAACAGCCAAGCTCCCCAAAGATCCCATGAAAGACTGGTTCTCTTTTCCTCCCTTGTAACCTGCTGACACACAGCCCAGTCCAACTGTTGCAGCCTTGGGCTGTGCACTGTGTGGGGAGGGTCAGAACAAAGCCTTGGCTTTATTAATTAGAAGAGCAAAGATGAATCCCCCAGAGAGAGGAAGTGATTTAACAAGAGAACAGAGCATATATCCATGATGCTACTCAAAGCAAAGACCATGTATTCAGCCACTGCAAATGTCATCTCTTTCCAAAGGTACAAGTATGTCTACATCTCTTGTAATATTGACAGAATCAGAAAATGCAACTTAATTCCTGAAGGAATGGCTCAGTTGAGCTCAAACTTCTGCAAGGTTTCAAATGAAAAAAAATGTCAGCAGTTGTGACAAAAAAAAGCTCCAAGCATTGTAATGTGGATATCTCAGTTAAAAAATTACAGGGTTACTAGCTACAGCTGTAATGAAATAGCCTGTTATTCTCCAAAAGGGAAAGCTTCTGAACATATCCACTGACAAGCTTACTAAAATACACAAGTTTGCCAAGAAAGGTGCTGCTGGCTCAACTAGAATTTTCCTTCAAAATCAAAACCTATCTTCGGAAAGGTAAAGAAGAGCAATCCTGACATCTAATTCATTGAACTGCGACATTGAAATCTAACGCATAAAGAGACGTTGCCATTTCCCATTAAGTCACCTTTATTCCATAAATCCTTTCATGTGGATAAACTAGTCCTTATTTTACAAAGTGACATTAGGAAACTTTTATGATCAGGTGTTGAGAGAGGTGTGAGTGCTGGCCAAATAGTTTGATGAGTATCTTTTAGAGTTTATAAAATTTTCCTATATCCAGCTGCACTGACATAGAACATAAGGAGAAAAAATTCTGCTACAGAATACAGTCACAGTAATCTTTGTAAAGAGCATCTTAAAGAAAATTAAAGATTTTAATGACACGGTTCTAAGAATAAATGAAGAGAAAAACTTATCCTATTTATGCAAATAAAGACCAAATATGCTGATTAAGCAGTTGCTGCCCAGGAAATGACCAGAAACATCAAACACAAGTTTATACTACTCGGAAGAAATAACTCTTAAGGATATGTCAGTGTGTCAGTTATTCCAAACAAATCATGGGACAAAGGTTTCTAAAACAGAAGCAAGTAATAGTGTACATAACATTTTTGCAGAGTATGTCACATAAGGCCTGATACATCATAAATGCTGAAACACAAAAGAGAACATCAGTTCTTTAAACTGTAAGATATAAATACAAAATGGCATTTGAATCTGAAACCTATACTTAAAGTGGGAAAAAAAGTGCTTGCAACAATCCAGCCACTAAACAAATGGATATCTGTTATTAAGTTTGGCGCTGCAATTATTTATTTTAATTTCCTTGTTCCAGTTTGTGAAAATTTATCTACTTGCTGCTGATGCCAATGTAAAATTCAATTACACATGATTATGAAGCATTAGGAAAATAATTTTGTGAGGTGTTGAACTCCAGGCTGCTATTTACAGGAATATCAGTAACAAGATACTGCTAGTGATGCACGTCAGTGTTATCTGTGAAGTTGTTTTGGTAAATCTGCTTGACTCCTGCATTGACCAACTAATGGAATACAAAATTTCTGACATTTTCTTAGCTTATAAGCATTACTGAGAAAAAAATAGGTGCATTAAAAAGAGGAAATTTAGGCAATATCATCTTCAAGTTTCTGGCATCGAATATAGCAAGAATTATGTAAATCCAAAGATTTTCATGTAAATAATGTAAATCACTTTACAATACTTTACAATGTTCCTTCAAGCAGAGCTCAGCTCATCGTTTTAAGAGGAGTTTGTTATTCTCTGTTGTCTTATCCTGTTTTTTAAACATCTTGATTATACCAAGCTAATAAGACAGGAATTTAGTATTACAAAAATACCTTTAGTAAAAAAAAATCTTACGCACAAAATAAAGTTAGTATGTCATTCAGGCTTCTGACACTACACAAGAGCACTGTTTAATACCCTCTATTTACATTACAAATGTAAATATAAATGCTAAATCACTGCTTATATAAACTATGAAATATCCACTCTTATTAACTCCTTCTAAAAAGGATAATTAATTCTCAAGCTTGGAAGAGAACCTAATTAAACATGACTTTTGCATAACTTATTAGAAAGAGTACTTTGTTTTCAGAAAGCGTTTCTAACATGAAGTATGTCAACTACAAGAGCTTTTAAGTGCTCAGTGTACTGTGCCTACCTTACTGATCAGAGGTGCTTCAGCAGCCCTCTGTACCCAACAATAAATCCTCTGGCCCAAAAAATAAAAGGAAAAAAAAAACAAAACAAACTCAGGACTTCTCAATTTACTCAATTTAATTGAAGAGGTTCCTGCTTGTTCAAGGTCTTCCTAGAATAAAAGCTTCAATAATGAACTTTGCCCTCAGCTGCATATTTGCCACTTAATAGGGTGATTTGTGATTTTGATGCAGCTGTGAAGACCCAATGCTTCGTAAGGCTAAAGCAGTTCAGTTGTGCCAATAGTTCAGCCTAACTCATGATATTCAACTTAACTGGAGTAGACAAAGGAACCTAAGTAGTGTGTATCTATGGCATGTACCTTTATCTAAACACAAGTAAAATCTGTGGAAGATTTCATACAGGGAAATGTAAAAGGTTTACATAATGAAAAAATTAATGCTTGGAGGGTCCCTATTCTGCTATCCAGAAAAGCTGAAAAGGCTGTTTTTTACTTTACAATGGCAAATACTCTATTTCCTTTTTTCCTTCCTTCAGTCCAGCTCATTATCTTCCATCTACCTACAGCTCTCTGATTGAAAAAGAGCATATAAGCAGAGCAGTAAATTTCCTATCTTCCAGCTTCCGGCTTTGTTCCATCTATCAATGAACTAGATTCTTTAGCCTTGCATCATGCTTGTAATACTAGAACCCAGTCCTCAGTTGGCCCCTGGAGACTAAACAGAGCATTAAATGTTAATCAGCAATGCTCCTTACCACATTGAAATCCAAGTTTTTTTCAACCCACTCCTTGGCTTCCTTGAACTCTTCTTTCATTTCCATGATGTATAGTGTATCAAGAGCATCCACGATTGTTGCTCCTTGGATGTTACCTGAAATACATGAAGAGCCAGTGATTTACTTTCCAACAGAAGACTTTTCAGTTAGATATAATTAATTTAAATTAATTCCAATTTTAAAATTCAATTTCAATTAATCCAATTAAAAACTGGGTGCATAAGCATTCAAGTGGTAACTAGTAATTCACAGCCCTTACTTTGATTCCCATGCCACAACACAACATCATAATATTTAAGTATTTCTTCCACTAATGAACTTCTGAAGAGCTGTTCTAATGCACTGTATTACTTCAGCCATAATTTTGCTTTTTAAACCACTGATAGAACAGCTCACCGTAAAATGACATAAAACCCAGTAGATCTCAGTAATTCAGAAATTCCTGTTTCTTCCAGTTTGGAATGAAAACAATCAGTTTCTTTTTTGTTTTTTTACACAATAATATACATAAAGCTTTAAGAAGCTGGTGAGTACTGATCTCATTTCAGTTAGGAAAGCCCTTTAAGAAGTATAGTCTGTGGAAAACAATTTTTCTGATATTGTGCACCACCATGTAACCTGCACAAGATAGCAGTGGGGGAGGCAAAGGCAAACTTGCACACGTGGCTTTGTCAGCTCAGGAGGGGCTGCAAGGCACTGGTTTTCAGAGTAAGGCACTGGTGGTCTGCAAAAGTGGCACCCTTCTACCTCTGTTACAGAGATGGCTAAGAGCTAGCCTTGACCTAACTGCAAGATGAAGCATCATCAGTATGTTGGCTTTGGAATGGATTAAATGTTTATCATCCTGTACTGAAAGGTTAAAGCGGATGGTGGGGTTCAAGAAAACACAGTCACTCAAAATACTTTCCCAAACTTACTTCAAATTTACCTTGACCTTTTCAAAATACCATTTTTGTCTGGGAGGAGTTTCAATTCCTATTTATGGGAAAATGTCCAAAATTCAATTTTGACCACTCTACTAAAATTTGTATTTCCTAACTTGGCTCCCACAGCTTTCATAATGAATGGAAAACTGATGTTGTATTTTAGAGAAGACTGTGATACAGTAGTAAACATTTAGAATTACAAAATAATTTAGGCTACAATCAACAGAGAAAGTCATTAGATCCAATCCCTGTCTCCCTCAGCAGGGCTAATGAGTCAGGTGAATAGCTGTCTACTCATTCCGGAATTGATTGTACCAGGGGAGTAACAAGACAGTAGCTACAACTAATTAAGGAACTTGATTATCATCTTGTCTCTAAAATACCTGACAAAAAAGTAAACTTAATTATGTAAACTTAGCAAATATCAGAATTCAATTTTTCATATTTAATAAAGAAAGCTACTATATCAGTCAATTCTTGTGTTCACTGCCATCATGGGTTTCTGCTTCCACATGAAACAGAGAGGTGATTGGAGAGCTCTATATAGCAGGATTGACATCACTTTCTTAAATTAAGCTTCCAGGTAGAAAATAATTTTCCACTTCCACCATCTTAAACAAAATAATATTTGGGGTTATTACAACAGTTACTCACTGGGTATATTTAACAGAATCAGATACTTTCTCTATTTTAGCAGCTGCTTATACCACCCATTTTTGAAATGTCACTTTCCTACTCTGAAGGAAGTAATCCCTACATTTTCCCCCAGATATTCCACTAATAAAACTGCAGCATACTTCAGTAAGAACAACATAATATCCTTCAAGAGCTTATTTGGAACTTGGCTGCCCTTCTCTAATATTACAGGAAAAGTATTCCTTTAAAGTTGGCTAAGCAACTTATATTTTTCCTGAGCTTATGACAAAGTGAGAGTGGAAAACTGCTGGAGGACATCTGCTCAAGAACACTACTGCAAAAGCTCTGGAGATGTCTGTTAACTCCATACAACAAAAGCAGTTCCTAGTGAACCTTTAGAACTGAGCTCTACTTACAGAAAAATCATCTATAACCTGATTTGCTTCAGTGGATTGTGATAGGCTCACCATGCAAAGACATTCTTTGTGATAATCCTCTTGTAATACAACTAACACCACCACTAAACAGTTGAGCTTTCAATTGTAAGGATTAGTACTTGAGCTGCAACTCACTACTAAGTCAGAAGAAAAAGAGGAGAAAACTTAATGAGAAATCGCCCTTGGAGTCACCTACTTACTATGATTTTTTTTCCTGAGTCTGGCCTATATAGCCTGCTTAAAGCACAGACAGAAAAAAAATTCCTAGAATCTAAAGTAGATCTTACTTTATTTGAAATAACTTCTTCTATTATTCTGAAGGCTCAAAAATATGGAATAAAACAATTAATGGGACCATTAGTCAAGTTTGTCTCAAACAGCTGTACTTCCGAGTTCTTGATGAAAGATAAAAGAACGGAGAAAGGGTCGGTTTAGAGGCCAGAATCATGACTTGTGAACAACTGCAGTTTATGCTAAGTGAGCCAACAGGATAACTTAAACTTGAGAGTAGTATGGAAATTGTGATGCTGAACAGTTCATTAATAACCAGTCAGACAAACCAGTGGTGGGGGTAGGGGAAGGAGTGCAAAGAAATTAAATGAACATTTCTTATTATTGGAGAAGACCAAATATTTCATAAGCCTATATAAACTATGCTTCTCAAGCACAGCACATAAATTATTAAATAGTTATCACTGTTGTTTGTTCCTACACAATATTCCCAAGGAATTACACAGCAGTCATGGTCTACAAGAAGCAAAGATTATTGCTAGGCAATTACAGTACACACTCACGACACAGAATATTTGGACAAGAGGACTGTTTTCCTATACACCTACAGTACTGCTATAAATTTGACTAACAGTGAGCACCATGTTACAGAGTGCCAGCAAAGTTGCAGCCACCATGGTAGAGTTTCATAGCTGCCCTAGGTAGGAGGAAGATATCACAATATTTGGATAAAATTCATAGACCTCAGGTAAATACAGATATATTTTGCAGATAATTTAAAGAAATATATATATATATATATATATATATATATACACTTGAGGTAGAGAAAATTAATTTGAAACTCATAAAACATATGCTCAGAGGGAGTAATTTTGATGATAAAAGAGATAACCAGATGTACAAGCCTACCAAAATGAAGAATTATTAGTCTCTACCAAAACCTCCAGACCAAGTATTCATGTATGCTCCATTTTACTTCTATTGTTAACCCTTTACTTTTATCTCTCCTCTTTACTAACAGCATAATTTACTCCAAGGGAGTAATAGAAAAAAAAATAAAATATAAAAACATAGACATGATATGATTAACATATTTTATACATAAAATAGCCTACTATTAACTGAAAAGAATGCAAAATAAATCAGTCAACATTAAATTTCCAGTAGACTATCGAGAAACATCTACACAACTTCCTTAAAATCTTAAGAACACTTCAGAACATCTACAGAACACTTAAAATCTTAAGCAATGATCTGGAAGAAAACAAAAAAGAACATATTGCTAACAAGATTTGTGGACTATTAACCACAATGGCTTATTACCCAGCATTTCAGAATAGTATGATGTAAAACACAGGTAGCCTGTATCTCCTCTGGATAATGCAAAGTCGGCCCATTTAAACTGCATGCTTTTTAATATGTGCCAGTGTATGTGCATGCAAATAAAAAAAAAGAAGAGATTTAATTAGAGAATGGAGTACCATCTCAGGATTAGGCAGCAAGAGCAGAATAAGAGTGATCAGAGGATGAATAACTTTGTATGAGTTTCCAGAATGCCACTGCAGGGGAACTGCTCTGGATGTGAATGACAACCTTATTAGCACAGCTCTGTGACTGAGCTTATATGGCCATATGGTTTAAGAACCACAGCTGGCTCATGGCCAAACCCTTTGGAGCATGTGCCAAAATAAGTTCTCACTTGTCTAGCCCAGGCTTTTAGACATGGCCAAAAGAGTCTGAAATAGAATACTTCAGAATCAATGCAGGTTGGTGCACTTAATAGTTTACAATTTCCTCCCATCCCTTGCACACCGAGCCGGGCATTCAAGAATATATATAGGTTTGACTAAAGTAACATTTTGATTTGAGCTGTAGGTTTCTCAGAGCATTGCTTCAAAAGCTGACTCATATCTTAGAACAGTGTTTTCCTTTATTTAAAGTTCACTGAAAAGGTTCCTATGCAATATCATTAGCAATTTAAAGTGTCAAGAGTGATTAATTATTAAAGTGTGCTATGCCAAAACATGAAACTCTTGACTCAAGTACTGGCAAACCCTCAGCAATATTAACACTTTTAATTTCAGTAACTATTAGCACCTGGTAAGAGTGGGGAAAGAAAAATCCATTCAATTTTTAACAAATCTAGCTTTTCGTATGTGTAACATGAAACAATATAGCGATATTTCTAGAATGCTCTTCTAAATCTCCGGTATTTTATACATCTGTACATTTCAGAGTCAGCTCTGGTCTTTGAATTTGATAAAGCTCAAATAATTTTTCCTTCACTGCTTATCTCTGTGCTTCCTGCAGAAGCCTTTGGCATCCACCACACTTCTGGCACTGTGCAGCTCAGCTATATGTTTTGTTATGAACCACCTCCTTTTGTTTGAACATGCTGCCTAGTAATTTGCTATCTCCACCCTTCCTTACAAAGGATATCACTCCCCACAAGGAACAATAAATCCTTGTTCATTGCATATGCCACTATGCCACTTTTTACCTCCACATATTTTTCTGGAAAGTTGTCAAGCTTTACTACTTGCTATGAGCTCAAGTCTGCCCGTTCTGTGTATTAATTCAGAATTATACCTCCCGTTTCACTAAGTGCCAGTTTAAATTAGGAACATTTTCTATTTCTAAGCGCAATTATTGCCTGTTGGGAAATTCTTCTGGGTTTGTGGAAGTGTTTGCAGCTTGCGATTGTCAAAGATACCCCAGGTAACTTATTTGCACTGTCAAATTTCACTCTGGTCATTTGATTTTTCAGCATTGGGATGAGTAATTTGAGAGTGTGGCTTCAGCAGCAACCGATTCTGGTGAGACGCCAGTAATAAGCCTGAAAAATGCTTTTTGGAAATCTAAAAAGACAATACACTTGTCTTTGTCATGCAACATGACCTCTTCTCAAAAATGCTGTGTTGAGTAATTCATCCACGTATCTGTTAATGTTATTCTTTATACAACTTCATTTAGCTGAGATAGATGTCAGGCTTGCTTCCAAAATTAAAACCACATACTAAAACACAAAATTTCAAGGAATACAGCAGGAACAGTGAAGACGAACAAGATTGGGGTGGGGGAAAGATTTTGAATCCTTTTAATTTAAATTAATATACTGTTTAAACACATGCAGAATTAATTGCCTAGGCTATAGTAATAAACTTAGAGTTTGAAAAGACACATTGCTATACACTGCCAAGACAGTTTTGGATATAAATTTTGGCAGGCTTTAAAAATATTCACACACCTCAACACTCCATAAAAGAAATGACAAAAAACAGTTCAAAGTGGGAGGATCAGGATCTTACTAAATTATAGGACTTTGAGGTTTGCTGATTGTGAGTATTTATTAAATGCCTCCCTTTTTGCCTCCAGAAATGGTCCTTTTTCACTTGCAGAGATTAATTATACTATGCCCACAAGTTACAATATCAAACTGGCAATACTGCACATGAAACACAGCTTCAGATAATTAAAAAAGCCCTTTAGTTACAGTCACTTAAGTGCAGAAAACACTTCTAGAAAGAGCTCTCTGCTAGTGCAGCAACACTCATTAGTTTTAAAACTAGTTCAGAAGGCTTAGAGAGGAATAGCTCCTAGTTTGAGGGGTTGGTGGTGGAGTGCTATGAAAACAAGGCAAAATTGTGATTTTGCCACTTTCGCAGTAAGAAGGTAGATTAATAAATCTCTGCTTTAGCTAACATTGTTAACAGTAAACTGAAACACACAGGTTAAAGGGCCTACTTTCTACTAGTAATACTAGGAATACTACTACTAGGAATACTTAGAGAAGAATTAGTACTCATGGAAGAAGTCATACTAGGAGATATGCCCTCTTTTGCTAATGGACAGATATGGTGCAAACAGATGCTGAGCTATCCTAATTTATTCAATTAATCTAGAAACAATTGTACACCTCATGGAATTAAACCAATAAGAATATTTCTGTCTTTTCAAATAGCTGCCACAACATGGCAAATGCAAAGGAAATAAAAACATTGCAGGGATGTGCTGAAAAGACATTGCCAATCGTCAGAGGCATGTATGTGGCACCAGCTTCAAGGAGAAATGTTTCAGTTCACACATGTTTCAGTGCTTCTCTAAAGGTATGTTATTCTTGGTGTGCACATGTGAGAGAAAGCAACTTCTGCTCATAACATTAATATATCTACAGTCTGCCAGTCTAAAGACTTTCTCAACTTATTACACACACCCTTCCACACACACTGCCTGCAGAATACCAGCAAGATCAAGGCAGTTCCTTGACTTCACAATTTGTTTTCATGGCCTGAGTTTGGGACAAAAAAATGTCATTTCCAAGTTCAGCAAGAAGTCCTCAGCCTATAGAATAGCCCTACTACTAGTGAGTAGTACAAGGTGCTAAAGCAAGGTTCTTTTCCTTCCCCCAAAATTAGAACCACCAGTTGTCCCTACCCTTTCTCCCAACAACACCCCACTGGCCATTTTCCTCTTCTCTTAGCCTAGCTATAGTGTCTGTATTTCATGATGATATTTCCTAAGCCACATCTATGTGTAATTACACCTCTCAAAAGCCATCTTGTTTTTGTCCTTCTGAGGAATGGAGCATGACAGTTATGACTTGCCTTCAAGACACAACAGTCATTATAATCTACCTGCAAAATGGAGATAGAAAGGAACCATGCATTTATACTTTCAAAAATAAGTTTAGAAGCAGTATCACTTGAAAACAACTCTCCTCTTCTGGGCCAGGAGAGTTGTATTGTAACTTATATAACATAAAGCACCACACAGCACTGGACTCTGCTGTTCCTCACAGTGAGAAAGTAAAAAGTCTTTATCCCAGAGCAGACACTCCCTGTCCATGCAAAGCAACGTAAATGCAACAATTAATTCAAAGGAGGAGAAGTGTTTAAAATCAAACAGTGCCTAACAAAATATGCTGTATTTTACCGATACTAAGACAACACAAAACTTGTATTTTTAGAACAATTGAGACCTGGCAGCAAGAAGAGAGTCTTGGCAAATTGGAGATAGTTATGGATGATAGTGAACAGAAGGTCTTGATTTCTGAAGGATGGGAGGAAATTCACAGGACACAGAGCTGAAGGTAACCTATTCTCCACTGATCCAATTCAGAATTACTTTGAATTAGTCAAACATTTGCAATTTTTACAAATTTTTTTTAAAATAAGAAACAAGGAAGATAAGGAAACTTTTCCATCCTTTCGTGAAGGAAAGAAACCCAACATACAAACAGGTCACCCTTTCATTGTTTTATGAAAAAAGCATAAAACATTTGTTGAATTCAAACGTGAAGGTACAAATCAGATCTAATCATCTGAGGACACTTACAGAAGCAAGATTTTGTTCATAGCTCTCAGAGAACCATGAAAAGAACAAAAGGCAATTATGGGCTCAGGCAAGGGTAACTTATGAGGCAGACCTGCTTGCAGATATGCTGCTCTTCAGTATTCTGTAAAGCAATTCAGCAGAAATAAACCTAATGTTTATTTTGATTTGCACCAAGATCAATAAGATTGAAGATGTTTTTAAGGAGAACTCCTCAGCAATAAGATCTTATACCAGATGATCAGGATGAGAAACTGATCTGCATTTAGACTGACTCTGGCTCTTACTCCTTTAAATGCAGTATTATTTTTCAATTCAACACTTGTCCTGTTTCACAGAGAATTGTACCTGAAGTGACTTTAACTTATGCAACATCCACAGAACTCCTGCTTAAGATTTTCACAATACATCTACAGCTTGTTCTGCGTTGCAAATTCATGAAATATTTTTATTAAATAAAACATTAGAAATTTTTATACTACTTCTGATTTCAAATGAAACTACTTTAAGCGTTTTTATTTTCGAGATTCATGCCATTTTGTTGTACTGCAAGAAAACAGAATTCCATTACATAGTTCCTCAAATAGATTAAATTGCACAACTATCATTCTCCTGAAGACAATAAATAATTTTTATTTTTAGAGAAGAGAAGGAAATAGAAACATGACAACTCAACCTTGAAGTTAATTCAAACTACTCTGCTTCCAAGAACTCAAAAATAATTCCAATAACTAACTAGATAATAATTACTTATTAACATTTTTGATGTTACCTTGGGGTAGCCAAGCAGTGCAGCAAGATCAATGTAGATGTTGTATTTTGCAAATTATTTTTGTAATCACAACTGCTGTCTCTAAGCAACCTCCAAATATAGTTGGGGATTTGATAAGTGCTCTATTTAGGCTGTTTTAGGAAATGTTTCCACTTCAAGTTATCTTTTGCAAACATTCAACAAAGTAACTTCCTCTTAAAATCAAAATAATGTATTGATTTTGTATCAGCTATAGAAATTAGTAATTTTTCATGTTTTTGTTTAGAAAACAAGCTATTTTTTGGAAAACAAGCTATTTGAATAGAAAAGTTGGTGTCAAACAGTTTAATTCTTCATTTTTCTGCAAAACTGAAGATGATGACAGTTCACAGGGACTGTTTTCTTATGCTTCCTCAGAATGCTGTTTCTCTTCAGCTACTATTTAACCAGCTACAAGTCCTACTTGGACACTGAGGAAGTCTTGCTTCATTACACTGGATTTCTACAGTGTGCCTCTCCTACTAGAACTTTTCAGTCCCATATTTGTTCTACACTGATAACAACTTGTCCTTTATTTAACATCTCCTGTGCAGTTTTTAGAGGTACAAACAACAGTTCTATTAATGAAAAAGAAAGCCTGATAAGGGAGTCTGTTACAAAGTTATAAGAAATGGAAATAAATTCCTAAGAACTGCACACAGTTTCAGCTACCTTTGTGACTGTAGAGAGAATTGCTTGTTCCTTGTAAAGGATTTCTCCTCTTCTCCACCCTATTCCCCTTACTTCCCTGCTTACTGAATGTGGCATCAATGATTTCCATAGTAAATGTTTAAGACAGGACAGTATTTATTGGAGCAAAACTATATTTTTATCATGCAGCAATGCCATGCTCCATTTATTCTCATTCAGACACTAATCTATAAAAGTCACAGAAAGCACCTTCATTTACTGTTACTTTTTATACATAACAGAAGCAAGAAATATCATGCTGCATGACAGGGACAAGAAAGAAAACATGTTTATCACTTATAAGCTTTTCAGCTGATTTACTGTTTTATGCTAACGTCACTAAGCACAAAAATACACTCTACTCACCAAATAAATTGCTTGAATGTCCTTGCTTAGATATGGGTTTCAGTTCATTTAATCCCCATGCGTAACGCTTATAATTATCCCAGGCATGCTTCATCATCTGTAGGGAAACGAAAGCAGGATTATAATGTTGATTTAGCAAGAAGCCACAGCAAACACCAACTTGAGAATATTCTCAATATTAAAAACATTTAACTCAATTCTTAACCAAATTCCTGCTGTATGCACTAGAGCTATGAAATATTCAATAAAGAATAACAGTGGCACTGTTTTCCAGGTGGCAGTGGGACCATTGCTCTAAAAATTACATTATTGTTCTCTCCACTTCTGTTACCTGCAAACCTATGGTCAAGACACACTCAAAAATAAGTAATTTTTAGGAAGGGAATTCACTGTGTCATATATCAATTCGATTGAGATTTTATTTCCCTTCAGCATATACCTCAGAAACTGAGGGAAATAACATTTTTAAAGGAGGTTTTTTCCCTAAAACCTTTAGATTCTTTGAGGTGAAAATAAAGCTTACAGTAGTTTTCAGATTCTGGCAGAGACCTGCTTGCATAAAACTAGTTGGTTCAAGCTTAGCACAGCTAGTAACAGTACAAGCATGGTAAAGTGGGCAGGCAGAACACCTAGAAAATGTTTTGAGGTTTTTACAATACAATCTTTTACGACTATAAATGCACCTGTAAATGCTTTCACATGTCATTTTGCAGAAAGAGACGAAAACCTTTACAACTAAACATATCACCACCAAATCATATTTTGCATGAGAAGAGGTGCACCACAAATAAATATCGCTTTAGGAAACTGCCTTGCAGAGCCCAGCACAGCAGTGCTGTGGTAGGAGAAGGGGGCATCCACACCAGAAGCCAGGGGGGTGGGTTGACTCAAGAATAGCTCACACTCTCCACCATCATCACCAGACATATGTAGCCTGGACTGTCCTTTTCCAGGGTGCTCCAGGTGCATGTCCAGGAGCCCACCTGCCCCTCCCCATACATGCAGTGAGAATGCATACAGCTCTGCAGGCCTGGTGACAAACCACTGCCACTCCAGCAGGTCCAACACCTCCTCTTACCAACCACCACTTTTAACACCTGCTCAGCAAGAGTCTTCTTTAAAGGCCACCACAAGCAGCATGACTTTATATAACAGAAAGAAAGATTTTGCTTCCTTGCTGTCCTTCCTCCCCTCTTCCACAAGGCAGAGTAGTGCTGGAAATGCCAGAGGTCATCTTCTAGACAAAAAGTGACAATTTCAGACCTTTTCAAAGATACTGCTTCAGGCTGTCAAATGACAACACTGCTCTGTCCTTGCTTTCAGACCTCTTCTTGAGGCCACATGTGTCAAGGATAATTCTGTTAAATAACAGTTACAGTCCTAAATTTAAAAGCAGCAGCCTTGGGACATGCTGATAATAGCAATCCTGCACTTTCTCCCTTCTTCTTTCCTTTGCTCAAACCTCAGAGAAATTATGTCAATTAAAAATCTGCATTAAGCCATACTACAAAAAATGACAACAGATTTCCTAGAATACTGCTATACTTGCGAGAATAAACATTTCTCCACCATTAATGGGAGAAAAAATGCACTCCTATCCAGCAGGAAAATTTATGGATGTTAATCTACACTACAGGTCCAGCTTTAAAAATACAAAAATTGGCAATGGCAGTTAATATGTGAGCATTTTCAACCAAAAGATTAGCCTGGTGTCAGATCTCAGCTGAAAGGCAGCAGTTCAGAGGTCCTGTGGCAATGGTCTCAGGCCATGGATGGCAGTGATATGCCAAATGGCAGGAGTGTGTCCATTGCTTGACTTCATTGCAGAATGGCTTAGGAGCTCTCCCACGATGGGGCTTTTTGTCTCAAAGCAGAACTGGCAATAGCAGTCAACTGGCAGACTTTCTGACTATGGGGCTTTCCCAATCCCTGACTACAAAGATCAAGACTACATGAAACCAATCATTGGTCCACAGCGTATTTTCTAATTTACCAATTGAATTTTTCTGGTAATTTTGTCATTATACAAGAAATACTTATTCTGCCCCGACATCATATCCCAGATCTGCAGGCTCAGCTTTAGATATTAACGTACAAATTCTCAGAGATTTCAGGAGGTTAAATCCTATGCTTTGTCAAAGCTTATTTTCTCAAGCAATCACATCAGAATCTTTTCATTTGTTTAATCTTAATCAGAGCACACCACACAAAAGGCCCCTTTTTAAAATTTTTTTTTTTTAATAAGCTAAACTTGTAATTAGATGGCCTGACTCAAAGGGCCTAAAGATGTAGTATTATAACACCATTATAATTGCTCAAGTCACTATCAGCATTGTCCTTCCCTTTTTCCATCCTTTTTCTCCTAGCACATCTATGCTTCTCTTGCACGAGAAATGCAGTGGTCATCAATTCCCAAACTAAGTCAGTTCAGGAAACACAAACTTTTTCAAGTGACACTGTTGTTCTGAGGATCATTTTTGTCTTGTCTGATTCCCCAAGTCAGATTGTCATGAGTGTCAGAGCTACCAAGAGGGAAAGGCAGGAAGAGCTCCAGACTGGATCAGTCCAGCCACAACAGTCACAAAGTGTGTGATGCTACAAGATGTTCTAGATGCAATCATTTGCCTTTAGTTTTTCCCCATGGATTGACACCTCATTCATATTGTATCATAAATGTATGTGTGATTTGGTAGCAGAAACCACTCTGATTACCCTCTTGCTTATCAACCTCTAGCTAGTAAGAGAGGAAGATAACCCAGACATCTTCTAATAATATTTATTATTGTGGGACAATGAACATCAGATGGGTTGTTGGGTTGGTTTTTTTTACAAAAATTTCCTCCCATTCTGCTAACTACTCAGGTACATTTATCTAATTGCTTTCTAGGAAATTACAACGTGTGGATTCCACAAGCCAGCCAGACAAAAAAAAAACCAAAACACCACAACAAAACTCACAAACAAACAAACAATAAACCAAAAAGCACTGCTCCACCTAAACTTAAGGAAATAGTCCAGTAGGAAAAACCCTACCAGAATTTACTGAGCAGGAGATCAAATTAATCTCTTTTGGCTAATCAAAACATTCTTTAGAACTCTTCCAGAAAGCCTCGATTTAGACAAAACCCCTGAGGATAGTGAGTAAATTTACTCCTAAGAAAACGCACCTTTAGGACACCCTTGCTTAGGCATTTGGAGATTTATGGACATACTTGTAAGCAAAAGGCAGCTTCAAAAGCAGTCAGTGAGCCCTCTAGTGTTTCAAAAGAAATGAGTCATTCCAACTAGACACAACCGTGAATGGCTCTTTAGGAAAAAAAGTTATTAGCACTCAGTGTTACTGGGCAAAGAGCCTACAGATCTAGCAGCCAAAGAATCCTGCCTTAATCAACACTGCCTTGCTACACAAGAGACTTTGGACATCTAACCTATCAAGAAGTCTCAATTTCCAGGATTCCATACATCAGAAATACTCTACATTCTTTCCCCGCTGTGGAAATTACAAAACCGTATTAAGTTTCCCAGTACATGAATTTCCTATCTGTAAATAGCTTCATTTTCTGTGTAAGAATGAAAAGGTTTTAAAATATTGAGAAGCAATAGACCCAGCTCACCCAGGTAATTCTTTGCTTAGGCAAAACTCCGAGCACTGGTACTTTGGGAATTAATTTTAACAGGGTTTTTTTTTTTTTGAGAAATCCATCTATCTTTGCAGTTTTCACCTTTTTGTTTGCATGGGATACCACCAAATCATTATCGCCTGATTTTTTTTGTTTTGTTTAGTTTGTTTGTTTGGTTTTTGGTAATTCACAACGAGTCCTTTGATAATTTTGATCACAACTCTGACTACTTGTGCAAGTGCTATTGATCACTTGAAATTTCTAAAGATCACAGTTCCTGAGAACATCCGGTATATCAACACAACATTACTGATGTTAAAAAGAGAAATTCCCAAGGAGGGATACTCCAACAGCTTTTGACCAGATGATTCCTGATACTCTCAAAGTTCTCTACAGTATGACTAGTAAAATTATTTTAAATAATTCCATATTAGACTTCCAGGATGTTAATAGGCACAGTTACATTTGCATAGAAAAATTCCTCAGTCCTTCTAGTTTTATTGCATGCTAAAAAAATATATCACAGAATGGTTGGGATTGGAAAGGAGAGATAATCTGGAGATCAACCACTTCCAGCCCCCATGCTAAAGCAGGTTCACCTAAGTAGGTTGCACAAGATTCTGTCCAGGCGGGTTTTGAGTACCTCTAGAGAAGGAGAATCCACACCCAGCAGCTTGTTGCAGTGCTCTGACACTCTCACAGTAGAGATGTTTATTCCTCCCATTTAGGTGGAACTTCCTGTGTTTTAGTTTGTGCCCATTGCCACTTATCTTGTCGCTGAGAACCACTGAAAAGTCTGACCCCATCCTGACCTCAAGATATTTGTATGCACTGATAAAATCTCATCTCAGTTCTCTCTTCTTCAGGTTCAACAGGTCCTTAGCCTTTCCTCATACCAGAGAGATGCTGCAGTCTCCTCATCATTTTCATAGCCCTTTGCAAGACACTCTCCAGTAACTCCTTGTCTTTCTTGAACTGGGGAGCCCAGAAAGGCTCATTGAATCTCAAACACTACAAGAAGCTGACAGCTCCTTGTTCTATGAAAGCAGAAGGAAAAACCTTTCCTACAGCCATAAGATTGACCATGTAAAAGATGATGATAACGCACTCCTACTTGTTGGTATTTTAGTTACTGTCATCCTTCAAAGCACTCTAACACAACACCTAGAGAGGACATAAAACTCACCTGAAATTTGCAAAATACAGTTCTGTTGAAATGTTGACAGAAAACAAGAGTGATGCTGAATCAGCACAGTAATAGTGGTGTTTAGATGGAAACTACTGCAGTACCAGGTGGAGTGAAAATAATAACTTAATAAGGTTTATTTTTAGCAGTTACATGTAAGTGGGGGAGACGCCAAAGAGTATGTCAGGAAAAGAATTAAAGCACCTTTTAGAACTGAGATCTTAAGGGAGAAAAAGGATTAATTGCATGAAATAGTACCACCCTGACCTTCAACAGAGCCATTTAAATCTT